GGGCACCATCTGTTTTCTTCCCCACTTTTGCTAATGCACCCCCTATGTCCTCAGCGATCGAGTAGGGGCAGGCTAGTGTGCTTCTTCCGTGTGGGTTTTGTTGTCTCTCAGTTAGATGGTACTTGTTTATCTTCAGGTCTTTAAGGTTTCAGGTGCTATATCTTTTGGTAGCTGGGCACCATCAGCTTTCTTCACCATACTTGCTTGTGCACCCATTGTCGTTTGTTTGTTTTTCATGGAAGCACTATTTCGACTTGTAAGGATGTCTGGCATTATGTGGCTATTCTGATTTGGAATAAATAGCAACCGTCAACAACAATGAGGTCGAGTATGTTGAAGGTGTGTCTGAACTGCCAAACTGCACCATTGTGGATTCCCATGAGCCACATACAAGAGTTTCAGTGTCTGTGCCCCAGTCAACACTTGCTGACTATTTTGTAGAACACCGTAGTGGTGTGAAGTGGTCTCTCTTTTGCTTTGTACTGCCACCGTTAACATGACAGTAGTACTTTTGCAGGCCTACTAACTGGAGGGTTGGTGACTGAGTCTACCCAGCAGACTCCAGAAAGAAAGGCTAGGTGATCTACCTCTTAAAACTCACAGCTTGTCCTCCAAAACACAGACTGGTTGTGATTCAGAATCGACCAGATGCAACCCACTTTCATTGGCTGTTTGTAAATCTTCTTTGGAGAAATGTCCATTTAATTATATAGCTCAGTTTTTATTAAATTGTTTTGTCATTTTGTTGTGTTAGAGGTATTCTTTATGTATTTTGGATGTTGAACTCTTAGCAGTTAAATGGTTCCCAAATACTTTTTTCCTTTTATAGACTGTCTCTTTGCTTTATTGACAAAGTCTGTGATTTATTCTGGTTTTGATAATGCTTTAAGTGTTTGATTATTTTCCCATCCAAGAATATAATAACCGGCTTTTTCCCTTTCTTTCTTTTGTAACAGTTACATGGGAATTGGTCTTTCTGCTCAAGGTGTGAACATGAACAGGCTGCCAGGTATGCTTGTCATGGAATTCTGGCTTGCTCTTTCTGGTTAATAATAATAAACCACATTCATTGTCCATACTTTTGATTGCTGTGAGTTCAAAGTAGAATTTGATCAGTTCTTAAAAAGTTAGCAATAAAGTTAGCTGCTATGCAGCTTAGTAGAATTTAAAGCATATATGTACTATGACTTTTTAAATTTTATTTTAACTTGTAGGTTAGGGTTACATCGGTGACTTTAAATGGTTAAATGGGTTGCTTGTTTCTCACCTGACTGGCCACTCACTCTCCGAGCCCACCTCTGGAATATGGGCTCCTGTTGGAGATCCCCAGGGAAGGGCTGAACGAGGCCCACATAGTGGCTGATGCCCTCATTAGCCAGACAGGCCCGAGATTCTCTTTAGTGGTGTTTCGTCTGCACATGTTAGAAATTGGTACTTAAAGAAAAAATAATCTCTTTAAAATAGAAAGCTAAACAGGGACTGTGAAATGAAATGAAATGCCTAGCTGCTGTTTAATTGTAGTCAGTTGGGATCACATGGCCATGCTGTCAGTATATCTTTTTGCTTACGGTTATGTGTGACAGGGGGCTTAAATGAGCTTTATTTCGCAAAAGTTCTCCTTAGGTATAACTAATAAAATATCTGTGTTTACAAATGTCTTAGTAGTAGTGCTGCTGAAAGACCAGACATGGAGTTTTATAATTGAGTCAGGAACTTGAAAACTTCATATGATTGAATAGGGTAAAATACTCTGTTTTACAGTAAAGTGTGTTCTCTTGTTAGTAAACAACTTAAAACAAATTTCTTCAGTATGCTGGTGAAAGCAAATCTTTGGAAAACGTGTGCGGCGGTGGGACTGCACTCATATTTCTGCTCGTTTAGTACTTACTGTAGGGTTTTGTTGGGTGAGTTTATTTTCTGTAGTGTTGCAGTAAGAAAAGTGATCTAGAATGATTTTTTGAGCCTGTCAATGTGCATTTGGGGGTTTTATTTTTGTGCGCTGTTTGTGTACTACTATGGCAAATCTTTTCATAACCTTAGTAAACCTGGTGCAGAATGAGCTTACTTTTCTTTGTAACTATGCTGGAACTTCCTTTTTAGGTTGGGATAAGCATTCGTATGGTTACCATGGGGATGATGGACATTCATTTTGTTCTTCTGGAACGGGACAACCTTATGGACCGACTTTTACAACCGGTGATGTCATTGGCTGTTGTGTTAACCTTATCAACAATACCTGCTTCTACACCAAGAACGGACATAGTTTAGGTACTGAAATGACACATTACATGTAAAATAAGCAGCTACATTATTATTATACTTGCAGCGTTGTAAGTTAAAGGACCCCTCGTGGTGCAGTGGATTATACATCGGACTGCTAACCTCTTGCTTAGCGGTTTGAAGCCACCAGCTGGCCTGCATTAGGAGGTGGGGTTTTTCTATCCCCGTCCTGTGAGTCAGAACTGACTCGGTGGCAGTGAGGGTTTTTTTAAATGATGATTGTTTATTTGTTTTGGGGCATTATAGTTATATTTAATATGTGGTTCTCCTATATGCAGGAGTCTCTGGAAAGGGCTCTTACTGGTTTAATGGAGGAAATGGTAAACATGTGTCTCTAGTACGGTCTCTGTCAGTCAGTTGTAGAGAAATAACTGTAGATAAAATTCCCAGAGTCAGCTATGACAGTAATAGAAATGCTGTGCATTTTCTGCTTTACTTTGAACAAACAAACACCTCACCGGACAAATCTATAGGGGCCAGGTGCTAAGAAAACTGGGCTGTCAGTCCTCAGGGTCATGAGTAGTGCAGTCACAAGGGAGCTGGATGCTCCAAATCTATAGGGGCCAGGTGCTAAGAAAACTGGGCTGTCAGTCCTCGGGGTCATGAGTAGTGCAGTCACAAGGGAGCTGGATGCTCCCAGCTCGAGCATGGACTGGGACCGACTAAGAGGACAGACCCGCTACAAAGCCAGGATAGTGACCACAAGTTCTGTGGAAGGGCGCAGACCCAGCAAGAAGAATCATAAAGCCTGTGAGAATAAAGGGCATGTTGCTTAATAAGAGGTACATAGATGGAAATGGAAGTTCTAAGACAAGCAGGTTATAAGGTTTTTCTAGTCAAGTATGTACCATTTACATATTTAAAAATATGAATGTTTCTTAGAAGTTTAAAATTTTTCATTTAAAAAGTTTCACATTATCTTACTGATAGAAAAATCTAGATTCACTAGAAAATATTTCGAATGGGATAAAGTCAAAGGAGGCTAAAGTGAAATAGCTCTAGAAGGCAAAAATTCCATTTTTCTTATGAATATATTTAGTCATATAATACCTTTTCCTTTAAGTAGCACAGAGCCTGCTCTTTCTGTCATTTCAAAGAAAATGCTGAGTATCTGGCTGCATCGATTAAACAAAAATACTCAATTTTTTGCCACATAGTGGAATTCCAACTCATAGCAGCCCCATAGGACAGTGTGAGCTGCTCTGTGGGGTTTCTAAGGCGATAAATCTTACTGGAAGCAGATTGCCACATCTTTGATCCGTGGATGTACCGGTGGACTGAGCCACAGACATTTCTGTTAGCAGCCCAGTGCTTAATCGCTTCCCCACCAGGGTTCCGCACTGTTGGTAGTTCGTCCGTGCACCTGAGAATTGATCGTTGCGACCACTGGTTTTCAGAGCAGCTTTGGTTTCTTGTTGCTCTTCTGGCTCTGATTTGTCAAAGTAGTTGACTGGGATCGTTTTAGTTGTTTTGGCCGCTTAATTGATGTTTAAGCAGCTTAAAAGATGTTTAAGAGCTTAATTAATCTAGGAGGAATCTGCTTTCAGAATGATATTTTATTTAAAAATGCAGAAGAAAAATCTTTTAACCTTTTGGCCCTAACTTTTTGAGGAACATTTTCATTTTGGGAGATAGAAGGTCCACAGGGAACTGGTGCGTTTGACCTGTTGACCTCACCATCCAACCTACAGCACTTTCAGGGCTCCGTTGGTGGAGCTCATAGGGGATGTGATTTTATATTTTTCCTACTGGATTTTCATAAATATTTCAATGAAATGTGTATATTGAATAATAAAGTAATTTTTACATCTACAAACGTTTCTTAGGACAAGGATATATAATAAGCATCATTTCAGATTTTAAGTATTCTGAAGCACTTGCCATTGGTATTACAAGTTTAATCAGTATTATTGAATATGTAGAGAGACTTGATTTCGAAAGCAGGTTCTGTAGTCAGGCTTGCCTGTGTTTGTTCCTTGCTTAGAGACTTCAGTATGCCTGTGCCTCCGTGGTTTCAGTTGGCAACCAGGATCATAGGTGGTCAGACTGAATGGCACGTTGTAAATTCTTATTAGATCGCTGCCTAGAATACAGCACTCACTAGAGGTGGCTTTTTGTCATTGTTTGCTAGGTTCTAGATGGCTTCTAGATTTCTTCAGCACACGAAGAGGGTTTTTATTTGCGAAAATAAGGAGGAAACGTTTCAATACATAGGTCAACTTAACTTTAAGATATTCTTACTTTTTAAGAATATACTTTTCTTTTTGAAAAGAAACAAATGCCATTGTTATCTCTGATAAAAATATCCCACTTTACCTCCACTGAAATTATTTGAAGCTAAATTTAGATGAAGATTAATTGATGGGTTGGATGAAGTAACTCGGGTGTGTGTGTAAATTCAAAGGGGGACCATTCTGCTACGCATTTTTTTTAAGTGTGATCACTAAGGTGTTAAGTTTTGAAGATATGAGTTATATAAAACCTCTTTGCTAATACTGAAGGCAGTGATGGCACCCTAGAAATAACATTGATCTATAGCTCCTGTGTTAGGCCAGCTTCTCTAGCGCAGCAGAACCAGTGGCGCTGACTTTACATATGCAACTGTGCTCTCAGAAAATTACTTGTACAGTTGTAGAAGCAGTCAAGTCCAACTCCAGGCAGGTCCCAAGTCTGTGGGCCAGTTGTTAGATGAGGCTTCTCCTTCCTCATGCAGCTGTGGGAGCTGATGAACTCAAGATTGGAAGGTAGACTGCTGGCTGGTAACAAGGTTGGTGGTTCAGATGAAAGGCCACCGGGCTAGCAGATAAATTAGAGCAAACCATTGACTTAAACACCAACAACTGGAAGTCTCTGAGCTATGAGCATGATTCAGTGCCAGGAAGAACCAGTAGTTCTTTCCCACAGCATCCACTTACATAAGAAGTAGACCACATCCCTGAGGAACCTTTCTTTTACTTGCACCAGGCCTGCGACCTGAGTCAGGCGGTAGCACTCCACCCTCGCCTCTGAGAACCTGACCCCAACTTCAAATCACTGAACATTCGAGGCCCGCCAAATTGTCACAAACCCTAACTGTCACAACCACTCAGGCTGATGATTTGAGGGACTTGCATTCTTTCAGGCTTATGTTAGTGCTACTTAGAAGGAGCTAGTCTTATTAAATTATATATACATATATATATTCCTTTGTTATTTATTCTTTTCCTTTTTAGTGAGACATTATACCATAGCTTGCCTTTGAAAAACAGCTTCTAATCCAACTTTCTGTTTTTTCTTCCCTCAGGTATTGCTTTCACTGATCTACCGGTAAGACATCATTCATTTTAATAGCAGTTTTGTGTTTTTAATTAAAAGTATAGAAATGAATCCTAAGCATGTTTGGAAAGCTCAGAATGTAGTGTGACTGGGCTGCATCCCATCTAATAGCTTGCATAGAATAGAGATCCTTTCTCTGAGCACACATTGCTTCGGGCCCTCAGAAATGTAGCACTGAAGTGCACTAGAATCAGTTGTACGATTTTGTCATCAAGAAGGAGTCATGACTGAAATATACTCTGTGACGTCCTTCTTTGGCGTCGTTGGCCCTTGACCAAGGGTCTGCCGCACAGCCTTTGTCCTTTGCTCGTGCAGCACAGGCTGACGGCCGCCCATGGCAGGTGCTGGGGGGACGCTGTTGCACGGAACACCTAGGGATCGCTGTGCTTTGGGTGTTTATAGCAAAGGACTACATATTTTTTAAAGATCTTAAGTACGAAGGATAGAAAGGGCCAGGGTGGGGTGGGACTAGAGCACTGGAGTGTCAGGGACAAGACACACAGAGCTGTTCATGTCTCACCTTTGCACAAGGTGGAACTTGTTTAAGATTTTTGAAGGAGTGAGGAAATGAGCCGTGTGTAGAGGTAGAATGGTCTGGGCAGAGGGAAGAATTCGCACAAAGGCCCTGAAACACAAATGCACCCGGCTTGTGCGAGATAATGTGTGAAGTGTGGCTAAAGGGGACTGAGGTGGACAGTCGTCGTCGATGAGTCAGAGAAACGGGCCAGGGAGGTGGGTGCAGTAACACAGGAAGGGGAGTCAGTGCGGGAGCATCTAGGCTTGGCTGAGCATTGACTGATGGAAATGCAAAGGCGATGCAGGTTGATTGGCGCGCTGGCGCTGGGTGCAGAGTCCGCTGTAGGGCACTAAGGTGGAAGCCAGGCGGGCGGGAGAGGGCTCTCACAGGAACTCGAGAGTGAGTGAATGGTGGCCCTTACTGGTACAAAATGTGCCAAGTGCCTGATTCTGGGAACCTTATTTATCAAATCAGAGACACTACCAGGGTAATATACAGCATGTCTAATAATCTAATAATACAGTGCTTTCCTATTGCTTTGAATTTTTATTTGATACCTACTGAGTGATCTCTTTAAGGAAACAGATTTTCAGAAATCAATATTACTTGTACAACTAAAAAGATGAGACGAGCAATATAAATTGATGAAGCAATTCCCCAAACTTGTTTGCATTAAGAGTTCAGCCTTTTCAGTCATGTTTCAGTTGCGGCCGTGGTTTCAGTGCAACAGTGTGTTCGGCGCCGTCAGGAGCAGTGGTGGACATTTCGGCCTCGCGCTCTGCACTGGGGCGCCTTCTGAGCTGCCGGCCGACCTCACTGCGCTCTTGGGATGCGGGTACTTTTTAATGTTACCAGAAAGCACTGTCTCTGACAATCACCAGGACCTCGGGTATTTCTTTCTCAGTTGGTCCTTAGTGGCTTAGTTGTAGTGGACCTAAGTATTTCAATCAGGGCAGTAAGGCCCAATGAGCTCACTCTTCAGCAGACTGTAGTAGTGTGGCGGCAGTGACAGCCATACTGTGACAGCTGTCTGCCATGGTATGTCTGCCACTGGCCATGGTCAGATGCAATTGTGTCTTGGGATATTTGAAAGTATATCTTTTGAGAGATGAAGGAAGATTCAAAGGTAGAAAATAGAAATGCATCTAGAGATGATTGATATTCCTGATGAATCGGGCACTAGGAGTGAGTAGGGTAGAGAAGAAATCAAACCACTGGGTGGGTTTGCACAGTCAGCCAGTGCTTACCCCACAGTCCTGCCTAAACAAGCTGGTAATTCAAGGAAATAATTGGGACTGGTGATAAAATATCAATAATAGAAAACACCCTTCCAAAATAAGTCCAATAAAATCTAGGGTGTGCAGAGCCAAGAAACCTTTTTGGAACAAGTGTGTTTTTTTGTTTGTTTGTTTTTTAAATAAAGGGTGATAAGGGTTAATCTTCTATCCCCCCCCTCTTTTTTTAATCTTCTATTTTGTACCAAAGTAAATTCCAGATGGGTTAAAGGGTTTTTGTCAGGCTTGAGAGACAGTTAAATAATCTTTCTTTCTTATCGCTGCTGTAACAAATGGTTGGCGTTAAGAACAGTTGTATTTTCTCAGTGTAGGAAGCCAGGAGTCCAAACTCCAGGTGTAAAGTAAGCTCTGGAAGAAGGCGGACTTTCTCTGTGTGTTGTGCGGGGAAGCTGTGTCCCAGCTTCTCCAGCACTGCTCCTCGGTTCCAGGTGGCGTCTGTGTTTGCCTGTGTGCTCCTTGTTGGTCTCTGAGTGAGCGGCCCTTTAGAATCTTAGTGGTGATTGTATAGAAGGCACACTTGACCGTGTGGTGAGGTCTTGGACAGAATAAAGAAACCCAGCACGAGGTGTCCCCACAGGGGAGGGATACAGTGCCAACACATGCCGAGGGCACTCAATCCATTGAAGTTTGCCACTCACTGGCCAAAATTCCTGCCCTTCCCATATTCAACCAATCACACCATTCCAAAAGTCTCATTCTGTTCCAACCGCAACCAGAAATCCAAAAGCCCATCCTCTGGGTGATCTGAATCAAGTAGGAAGAGTCTGGGTCCATTTCACCCTAGGCCCACATTGCTTTTTATCTGTGTGCCGCAGAACAGAAATGCACACGCTGTTCCCGTGATCCGCGTGTGCCGGTGCAGAGTGCACAAAGCAGGCATTTTCGTCGCAGATTGGGAAGCTGGAGGGAGAGAGGGAAGGGCCGTGGGGCCTGAGCGGAGACTCACAACCTTTGTAGCCCTCAAGGCTGGAAAAGAAACTCACACAGGGAAAAAGAAAACATAAATCATAACAGCAAATGTGGTTGTTTTGAAGTCCAAACCCGAGCCAGGAGGATTTTCTGGCGGATCCGAGGTGGAAACGTGAGAAAGAACCTGGCTTCAAGATTTCTGTCTGAGGACATGAAGGAATGGAAGTGTCAGGCTTGGCTGTGAGGAAGACCACAGGTGAAGCACGTTTGAAGGAAGAGATTAGGATTTCTATAATAAGTTCATTAGTTGTCATTTAGACCGTTTGGTGTAAAACCCACCACTGCTGAGTCACTTCCATCTTGGTGGTCCCGCTTCGTTTCCGAGGCTTCCCTTCTCTGTGGGACTGGGGAATAGCCCCCTCGCCCTAGGAGCACTGGGTGGGTTTGGACTGTCAGCCAGTGCTTACCCCACAGCCCTGCCTAAGCAAGCTGTAATTCAAGGAAATGATTGGGGCTGGGAGTGAAATTTGGGAAGTCATTGGCATTTGGCTCCTCTTTCAAAGCAGCAAAAGGATACTGCTTAACAAGGGAAGAGTGAGTGGGGACACCGAGGAAGGAAGGGGTGGACCAAGGACTGAGTCCTGGGGAATGCCAATTCAGGAGGAACCAACCATGGCGACTCAGATAGGGAGACCAGTGAGGTATGAGAAGAATTGGGTGACCTGAAAGCTGAGGGGAAAAACACCAAGGAGGGAACACCTTAGCTTAATAAAGCAAATAAAATATGGACCACGAATTGGCCGTTCTGTTTGACAAAGTGGAGACCATTTGGTGACCTTGACAAGGACCTTTGAGCAGAGTAATAGAGAAATCTGGATAGAGCACCAGGACTCTGGAGGACGCTGGCCGTGGGATGGGGTGTAAAGAAACGGAAGGGAATTGGTGATAGGAAGAGGGCCAGCCTAGGTTTTTTAAGGTTAGGAGATGTGGCAGGATGTTTATTTGCCCGCAGTATCAAGTACTACAGCGCTCAGAGGTGAGATGGTCTTTGTTCAGAGCATTTGCAGTGACAGGCGATGGCAGCACATTTAGGTGCAATCCTGGTAGATGCATGCTCTAGAGTTGGGGAAGGGCCTAGTAGCCCTTTCCCCCTCATTTTCTGTGTCATGCAGCACTGCGAGCTAAGAGTAAGCAGCTTTATCATTGGCTTTGGGTTCTCTTTGGTAGAGAGAGTAGGGATCCTTTGGAAAAGGCTCCTTACTTGGCTGTAGACATGTCGACACTTTTTGTGTTGCCTTCTAATTATTTTCTGCCCTACTTTTGAATCGCCCGTTGTTGTTTTCTCCCCCACTATAATTAACTAACAGTGGTCGTCACCTCGGGAATAGCGGGTGAGGTGGTTGCTGTGGTGCGGTTCTAAGTGGCTTTTTAACACATTGGCTTTCTACCTGTCCTCCCTCACTGGCCAGTTGCAGTCCTGGATTCTAGAAGAGTAGATCTGCAGGAAAGGTAGCTACCTCCACTGTGCTACAGCTGCCCTGGAGCAGTCGTGGGCTTTTATACCCCCAGCCCCCAAAGTCTTTCCCTCCTCACCGCATCAGTGTTAGAAGTCTTTATCTGTAGACTAATTTTGTTGGTCATCAGGCACAGTCCTTTTGTTATCGTAGCCGCTTTCTTTTTAAATGATGCTACTTTCCAGTTTTTAAGGCTGACTTGGAAACCACATTTTATAGATAATTTGCTTCCATCTCCCTTCAAATGTTTTAAATAGAACAGGTCTCTTCTACTGAGAATAATATTTTATTTGTATGTTGAACTTTTAGTGTAGATGTTTATCTTTCATTGGCTAATGGAAATGAAGAAGTCAGTTTTCTTTTTGTAAAGAACTGTACTTTCTGCTCCCACCCCCCAAAAAAGGAGATGGGGAAAAACGGAATAAAACACCTTACTGCCACTGAGCCAGTTCCAACTCACAGTGAAGTAAGAGGGCAGAGCAGAGCCCCTGTGGGTTTGTTTCCGGGCTGACAACGTGCAGTGCGGAGGAGAAAGTCTGGCTTCCCTGAGGGGCTCTGAGCGGCCCCTGCTGCTGCCCTTGGGCAGCCTCTCTGTCCCCACAGGGCCGCCAGGGTTGTTAAGCTGCTGCAGCAAACTGCCCCATATTACTAATTCTGCCATCTCTCTTTGGCTTAAGACACTGAATTTGTATTTCTGTTGATCTTAAATGTGCATGCTTTAAACCACTGTATATTTCTATTTTTCCTTGTGTTTCTGATTTTGTCACTTGGCTGATGAGTTCTTTTCAAACATTTCTTCGTAGATTTTTGCTGTGGAAGCTGTGCAAACATTTTGTATTTGTGCACAGGGTATTTGCTCTGACCCTCCAACTTATTTCGTACTCTAAATGCTTGTGATAATGACATAACAAGGTTTAAGTGCGGAGCGTGCAGATGTGGGAAACTTGGAGTTAGTTACAGGGCTGTCAGAAAAACCCATGTTCTTGACTCAGCTCTGCCACTTAATGGCAGGGTGACCATGGAACAAGTTCCCTAACCCCTCCGGTTCTCAATTTCTCTGTCTTTGTAATGGACATAATAATTGGTATGGTTAATCCCTGGCATTTAGTAGACACATAGTAACTTCAAATTTATTGATTAATTAGTTATTTAGCCAGAAGAGTTTCCTGTATTTTTGGTCTGGAAATTTTGAAGAATATCTGAATGCATTTCTATATGAATACGGAAATTCAGTCTCACCCTTTTCTTTCCTTGAAATGTGTGGATTTGAGTCTTTGTTTTTATGTAGACAGTTTCCACTCCTAGTGGCATTGTGTTTGCATATAATTAAGTTCTCACCACCTGTTTTCAAAGGTGCTTCACGCGTAAAAGGATACATGAAAGTAGTAAATTTAGAATGGTACATGCCCAGTTAGAGCTGTACTTCTGTGGTAACTAACTTTAACAATTAGTTTCTATATTAGATGTCAGAGAAGTGAATATCAAAACCACACTACCATGCCACTCCCACTAAGAAGGGTAATGTAGAAAATAAGAAATGTTGGTAAGGATGTATCCATTGCTAGTGGAAATCCAAAACTGTACAGCTTGTTGTAGAAAAGTGTAGCCAAACTAAACAAACTCAATTCCAGCAAGTCAGTTCTGATGCCTGGCATCCCCACTGGACAATATAGAACTACCCCTGTGAGTTTCCCACACCACACCTTTTTACGGGAGTAGAAATCTCCATCTTTCTCCTTTGGAGTGATTGGTCGTTTGAACTGCTGGCCCTGCAGTCCATAGCCAAACTGGCCATTACTCCACTGGGGCTCTTTAGGAAATAGTGTCAATATAGCCTAAGTTCTGTAGAAAGACAAGAACGGGCAAGGGTATGGATATGCAGGCTTCCTGGTGGTTACCAGGGTAGAAGGGGTGGAAGAAGGGGTGTTACTAATTATGGATTGCTGAGTCAGTTCATATTCAAGGAAAGATTGCATCGACGAAGGGTAGGGCTACACAACTGATTGCTGTAATTACTGCCAACAAGTTGTATGCCATTAGACGCTCAGTAGGTCAGAGTTGTAGAATAGAGATATTTATAATAAGCAAAAGTAAAAGAGCAGCTGGTGGTGCTGCCCATGCACAACCAAATACTTTAGGGGTTTAGTTCCTTGGCGGGGAGGTTTAGAGACCTCGTTTCATGGTACAGCCCGGATAATTGGCCTAATATACCAGGTTTGGTGCTTTGTTGACCTCAGTACATTGTGTCGTGCCCCAGGGTCTTACGTCCAAAGCACGACAGCTAGTCTCTATTCTCTGAAACAACAGAGAAGGAAGAAAGTCAACATGAGGGGACTAATGGCCTCCAGAAACAGCTGCCCCCTTCACCGTAAGGCCGGAAGAACTGGGTATACAGCGCTGTCATTACAGAGCACCTTGACTTTAGACTCTAGAGCAGGATCCTGATCAAAAGGGGAGGAAATGCAGAACAGAACTTCACATTCCCATGGACTCCAGACTACTTGCATCTGTGGAGGCTGGATGCACCTTGACATGACTGCCTTGAGATTACCTTTTAAGCTTTAAACCAAAATATTCCCCGAAGTCCTTTAAAAACCAAATATTTGTTATTTAAACTTGTTTTTAAAAATGTCTACCTTGAGCCTTTGCTCTTTTAAGAACTATCTGTGAGGAGGCTTAGAAAGCTCACAGGAAAAAAGGAACTAAAAGACACGGAATATAGTCGATAACAAACATCAACTCTGAAGACTAGACAGGAAACTCGGGACTGTGAGCTTATGGCAGCGGAGAGGTAGCTATTTGGGGAAGGAGGTGAGAATGGCCGCACCATTTGAAGACACAACCCTGTCACTGAGTTGCACCTGTAGAAATTGTTGAGTTTATATATGTATATGTTCTGCGTATATTTTTAACAAACAAAATCTTAAATGCTGCCTTTAGAAATCATGTAAAGACAGCAGTAACTCAAATTATGTTTATACTGGTATCTCCCATATGACATACTCTTAGGAGCAAGGATTGGGTCTTTAAGACATTAGAAGTACATGGGACAATGTGGCATGTTCTTTTTTCTTGGTGAGGAGTTTGCAGGAGTGATATTTTTCATCCAAGATCATGTCTGTTAGTTTAGTTGAGGCTTTTTGTTTGCTTGCTTAGGGTTCCTCCAGTAATTGTTTTGAGATTTAGCCCTATAACGCCAAGTGGATGTTTTCATAACATTTCATTAAATGTATATGTTAATATATGTTGATACCTATGAAAGTAAAGAATAAAAACAAAACAAAAAATTTCCCCTGAAATTAAAAATTCAGGTGTTATAGGATTAAAAAAAAATCATGAAATAAATGTATGGTTCTTTTCTTGTAAACACAGCATTTGAAAGAATGAATACATCTGACATTAAAGGAACAGGCATTTAATGAAATGCATTGTCTTACAGCCAAATTTGTACCCCACTGTGGGCCTTCAGACACCTGGAGAAGTCGTCGATGCCAATTTTGGGCAGCATCCATTTGTGTTTGACATCGAGGACTACATGCGGGAGTGGAGAACCAAGATCCAGGCACAGATCGACCGTTTCCCTGTAGGAGACCGAGAAGGGGAATGGCAGACCATGATACAAAAGTAAGAGGGAGCACATTTGATTCGATAGTGTCTCACAGTATCTCCTTTCTAAGATGAGTCCTTTGTTGGGCATACTTGGGAATTTTTCAATAGTCTGTTGAAATCCTAATGGTATTAAGGCTATATACTATTGATTGTATTTTAATCTCTCCACAAACAGGGCTGTACTCCCAACCATTTAAAAAGAAAATTACGAATGATTTGGAGACACGTGCAGAATTACATTTCAGTGTGATTTCTTAATTTGACAGGAAGTAAAATGAAACTAGGCCCGTAGGTTCAGTTCATTCATTTGCCCGCCATTCTTGTAATAGGATGTAGTGGTTCCCAAAGGTTACATGATTCAGCTGTTAGTGGTGGTGAGAAAGATGTATTCAAAGCAGGAATCTAGTTTGTAACATTCCCAGAAGTTTGGCTCTGTAGTTCAGCAGTAGTTGGAATATTTATGGGAAAAATTACTGCTTGGCAACAAGGCAGAAGCATTGGGATAATCATGGTGTATCTCATGTATTGCCAGGTACAATTTGTGTTTCAAAAAAATCCCCGGGAATGAGTTGCTTTCTAGAATGAGATCAGCACGTCATTGATTGGATGTGAGTTGCCATCAGTTCAGTTTCCAGTGACCCCATGTCCAGTGTCGAGCTGCTCCATCGGGTTTTCAGATCTGTGAGTGCTCAGAAGTGGGTCACCAGGCCGGCCTTCCGAAACACTGCCGGGCAGCTGTGCCCGCTGAGCTTGAGGCTGCTAGTAGAGTGTGTGATTGTGGGTGGGAACCAAGGACTTTGATTTAGTGGAATTCTCCCCTTTTGCTAAACACTACGATATTTAGCATGTAGGCTTAGGGAGTTTATAATCGCCTTCCCTCTCAAAGAAGAAAATCTGACTTCAAGCCTCTCCCTTAAGGGATCCTTTTTTAAAATCTTACTAATTAATTTGAGTTCCACTTACTTATAATTAGACTTTTAAGACAAGGTAAAAAGTACAAAGCTCAAGAAGCAGTGAATATGGAAGTAGAATTCCTAAATGCAGTATAAATATTTATGATTCAGGGATAATATGGTGGAGCCAGCAGTAGAGCAGAAAATATGGGTCAAATAAAAGTACCATGAAATAGGAACTACATTAAAATTCCTGTTTTAGAAAATTATATCCTATTTTATTACAGAACTTCTTAAAACTTATTTTTCTTTTAAAGTTGAATTTCATTCAGGAAAGCAGCAGGACAGTGTAATTTATACAGCAGTTAGCTTTCCAGATCGTACCTTTGCTGAAAGGCAATGTCATTAGTACTAAGTGGAAACTCTTAGAGACTTGAAAGAGAATAAAAGCAAACTTCATGTTGCTAAGTTTTCTCAGTCTTCTTTGCTATGGCACTGTAGCCCAAGCTAATAACAAAAGACTTTCGATACCATTAGTTCAACACAATTCAGCTGAAATTCACCCTACATTAAAAATCTAACACAATATATTCTTTGGAGATGGAAGTGATCCGAAAGGCACAGGGAGTCTGAGAACATGCTTCTCTCCTGGAGTGATCATTCTCTAGAGCTGGGCACGGTGGTCTTTGTTCGCAGTTGAGCAAACAGACCACCTTGACTCAGATCTCATAGTTACCATGAAGTAGAGCTGGGATAGGCTGTTTTCCGGGGGTCCGATCCCCTTCATATTCTTGAGTGGTTGTCACTGAGCCTAGTGGCAATGCACTCGTAGTACAGGATGCATTATTGTCTCAGTACCATTGAGTTCAGTGAAGATTCCCTCCCACACTCACCTTTGCCACAAAAAAAGTACTCATCATGACCCATGGGAAGTACAAGACACAGTTCCCTTCTCCCTTA